GTGAACCAGCCCGATCCTGCTCCCCTGACCTGGTGAACCAGCCCGATACTGCTCCCCTGACCTGGTGAACCAGCCTGATCCTGCTCCCCTGACCTTGTTCTTTGTTCCTGAATCTCACCATGTGGGAAGTCTCAAGAGGTGGTATGTTCCTCAGAAATTCACAAGCCCAGCTGCCTGTAGGGTCAGTGGCACACCCCACCCCCACCCCATCAGACCTCGTCTGCTTTTTCTGCTCTATGTGTTGGGATGACCCCTCAACTACATAGGGAAAGTTCGGAGACTTTCAAGCCAAGTCACAACCTAGCTGTCAAGCATGAGGTTCAGCCCGTCTAGTAGGACACCTGATGCCGCCTGGGACATCCGGGAGACAGATAGCTCTGGTCTGCTGAGTTGGCTGGTGACCCGTGGGGAAGAAATTTGTCTCACACTGAGCATCACAACCACCTCCCACCACGATCCTGAGGAGGTCAGGAAGCCAGAGCCAACAGGCCTGAGGCTCCCGCCCAGAACTCACATGGCCATCTGGAACTGCTCCATCCACTTCCGCTTCATGTCCTCTGTCTTGCAGAAGAACTGAAAGCCCTGCTTTCCTTGGAGGTGAATCAAGTAGAAGCCATAGGACCACTGTGGGGACAGAGGCATGCTGGAAGCTGGCATGTCTTTGTAGGAGACAGGAGCAGTTGGCAGTTGGCAGTTGGCATGGTTCTGGTCGCTACCAGGTGTACACAAGTTCACTAGCACGGTACGTGGATGTGTGTGCCTATGCCTTGTGTAACACTCTTGTGTATAGGCACATACACTCTTGCCTGGTTGCATACCTGTTCCTCCCACATCAGAGATTGTGGGTGGGCTGTGCTCTTGCCTGAGCAGGCCAGGGTGCTCTCATGTGTGAAGGTGTTTAGGAACATGTGTCAAAGTATACGTGTGCTTTCCTGTGTAACATGTGTGCCTGTACTGTGCTTAAGTGTGCACATGTGCACGGCTACTTGTTTCTGTTCCTGGATATAGACGTGTCCGTGTGTGTGCACCCAAGCCTATGTCTGGATGTCCATAGCCCCTTTCACATGTGTAGACATCATACATGGATATGCTCTAACCTGTAGATCATGTTCTGCACATGGACGCATATGTACAGGTGTATAGATAGCACTGTGTGCACATGCATGCATGCAGAGATCCTGTTAGGCTCATATGCAATGTATGTGGGGGTCCTGCTATGTGCATGTGTGTATGTATGTGTACATACTGTTGTACATGCATATGTACTCTACTGTGCCCATGCATGCATGCACATATGCAGAGAACCTGCTGTATGCATTTTTATGTATGCAGGGGTCTGCTATATGTGTATACATGTAGGTGTGGCAGCCCAAGCTCAGGGCTCTATCAGGAGATCCACCCTCCTTCCTTCATGAGGCACTTCAACCCAAATCCCCACTGTCCCTGAGACTCCTCAAGAATGGTACCCAGGAACCAGTCCAAGGGTCTTCCATAGCCCCGCCCACTCCCTGAGACTCCTCAAGAGTGGTACCCAGGAACCAGCCCAAGGGCCTTCCATAGCCCCACCCACTCCCTGAGACTCCTCAAGAGTGGTACCCAGGAACCAGCCCAAGGGCCTTCCATAGCCCCGCCCACTCACTTTCACTTCCTGAGTTAAAAAACAAATAATGAGTTTAAAACAACAGGAAAAGCAAAAGCCCACTGGTCTGGCCAATTATCTAGGCTTAAGAAAGGGGCTTCCAAAGGGTGCCGGGTAAACTGTAGCCTAGTCTGTTAGCAGTGCAGGGGTTAGGAATGGAGAGAGGGAGGAACATGGGGAGGGGGAAGGGGAGGAGAGAGGAGGATCACGCAGGGTGGAGACCATAAAGCCTGGCCTGCCACTGCTCAGTGACCCCTGATCTTTACCTCCCAGGAAGGAGAGCTGGCTTCCAGGTCACACCTGCAAATCAAGTCTTTTGCCACAAATATGTGTCAATTTCTTGACTAAGATGTACAGGAAGGAGGGGAGGGCCATGAGCCTGATCTACTCAGGTCCATGGAACCCCAGACCCACAAGTCTGGAAAGGCCAGCATGGGACAGCACTGGGAGAGGGGCGAGCACCAGGGGCTTACCATCTTCCCATGAGACTAGAAGCATGAGGAGGAAATGAAAGGGAGATAGATCATTAAGAGGCTTGGCTAGGCCCTGGTTCCACTGCAGCCTGGGCAGGCTGACAGCCCAGGATGGTAATAACACAATCTGTCAATCACTCTAGGTATTCTCTCCAGTGCTTCACAAGAAGCTCTGGAACTTGAAAATTAGCCTAGGTCACTGTCCCTTGCTTCAGACACCAGGGTTAGAGGAACCTGTGTATGGTCCTACATGGGGACTTGCAGAAGGTCAGAGCCTTCAGCAGCTGGCTCTTGTCCCCAACCCAGCACAGGGCTACACACACACAAGGCGCTGTACTCAGAAGCCTCAAAAAAGCAAGACTGTTTCCCATCCCCTCACAGTGACAGCCGTGGTCTCAGTACCCATATTCCCACCCCCTACAGATACAGCCCCTTGAGCCCACAACCCCTTTTCCAACAGTCCTAGTCCACTGGATTTCAGAGCCTGACAAGCCACAAACCAGCCCCCAGCAAACCAGACAGAGCAAGAATGAAGCAGGAAGGCCTGCTTGTTACAACAGACAATGAGGAACTAGAGTCAGGTCCACTGAGACTAAAAAGTCAAGATTGGGAACTAGGCTCTTACTGGTGTCCTAAGTAAGACCTCACCTCTGCTTCAGGAAACTGGTGTCCTGAGGGTGCCTACGACCCACCATGGGAACTACCTGCAGTCACAGTGACAAAGGGAGGCCAGCAGGCCCAGCCCCCACTGACATTGATGTGCTGGCCATGGGTTAGGACCAGACCAGGACCTACCTTCTTGATGTCCTTGTTGTGCATAGGGTCATCCGTCATCTTGTGGAAGAGTAGCTCAATGACCTCCTTCAGCTCATAGCTGTAGCCTTTCCTCTTACACACAATGACCACCTTGTCAAACAGGAACAGGTACCTGGCCACATAGTGTACTGAGTGTCAGGACAGCCATGCTCTGTGTGAAGAGCCTGTATCCCTGCCTGACTCCAGACGGCTGTCCCAGAGACCACAGTCAGTGTGTCAGACCAAGAGGGCCAAGGCCTAGACAGGTTGCCCTCTTTCCAAAGTGAGGCCCTCCTTTCTGCCAGGTCCACAGGGCACAATGACTCTCAGTCAGGAAGCCATTGTTCCCATAAAGCCATCCTCAATGCCACCTCCATGCAGAAGGTCCTCAGCCCTCCATCTTTATCTCCCTTGGGGCACTCACTATTCAAGGCCACTGGCAATTCTCTCCTTTGGGCTCCTGGAACCCAAGATGGCTGACTTGTCCTGACTCCTCTACCACCTTCCTATCTACTCTCACTTGGCAAGAAGCTTCCTGGAGGCCAGACCTCTCCAGGTCCCAGCTTTGACTGTCTCCCAGGCCAGCTCAGGGCCCACCACAGGCAGGGCAGCACCTTTACGTGGGTATTGCTGATGTGACAGACACTTAGAGGATCATGTGGAGAAGAAAGGAAGTAATTAACAGAGCCATATAGAGCCTGCCTTGCTGTTGTTCTTCCCACAGGAGGGTCTGTCTCGAGCCTCTTGTGAGTGGGGTCCCCAGACCAAAGGGGGATGGGGTGCCAACCCTCACCTGTCTTGCTTGGTGTGGTTGACTATGGACCGGACTTTCAGCTCCCCATCAATCTTCGGCCTCCCAAATTCCTCCAGCTTCACTTGCTGGAAAGGCAACAACCGTTAGCCCAAGGGTGGACAACCATTGCTTTGCTAGACAGGGAGATAAGTGGGCATGCCCAGGGCAGGATGGCAAGATCCAGGTGTGATCTAGGAAATTGTGCCTACAGTGACTGGGTGGCCCAAGGCCATGAAGAACCAGAGCTAAGCCTGTCCCCTCTCAGGGGGCCACAATGGGGACTCCCTTGAGCCCTGGGAACAAAGGGCAATTGATGGCCTGGTCATGCTCACAGGCAGCCCTTGTGTGAAACCCCTAGCTGTAGGAAAAGCCAGAAGTCCAGCCCTAAGAGAGCAAATAAAGAAACCAAGTAGCACTATTAGACTGAGTGGCAACCACAGGCAGTGTCCAGCCTGAGGTTCATCCTCCATAGGAAGCAACCTGTGCCCAGCCTTGCTACCACCAGTCTACGAAGTTTCCATTTCCAGTTCTGTTTGGACTGTGCCTCTCTGTTCTGTTTAATACAGAGATCTGCATTTCTACCATCCTTTGTGTAGATTTCAAGGGACAAGTCTATTCAGGAGAAGGCAGAAGGCTGGTTCTAGGGGGAGTGGCTATGCCTGTGGGTGGTCACATAGGGCTGGAAGCCTGTACTTTGTGAAAGCTCCCAGATATGACACAGGCTGGACTTGGCCTGACACAGAGCAGGATTCACATCTGCTCAAGGACTCCACTGTGTCTCTTTGTCCCTGTTATATGGGACATATAACTCCAGGTGCCTTCTTCACCTGGAGACGGCACCAAGACTGTATGCCCCATGGCTGTCATATACCAGAAACACCGAGATCCATGGATCACTGGTCTTTTTGAGATAGGGCCTGTAGTATCCCAGATTGGCCTGGAAGTCACTGCGTGGCCAAAGATAATGCTAATCCTTCTGCCTCTGCCTTCCTTCCCCCCCACCCCGCCTCATGCTGATTACAGTTTACTCAGGGCACAAAAGGCAAGCACTCTGCCAACTAAACCACGCCCACATCCCCGTTCCTTGTCATTTAAAGAGCAAACATGACTCGCAACACCAAAGCAAACTCCCCTGTGTTCAAAAGCAGCCTGTTACTGTGCAGTGATCAGAAAGCAGGGTTGATTGGCAAGTGGCCTAGACCTCACATCCATGCTTAGAGATACGCAAGAATGGGCTGGAGAGATGGCTCAGCAGTTAAAAGGTTCAGGGTTTGATTCCCAGCAACCACATGGTAGCTCACAACCATCTATACTGGGTCTGATGCCCTCTTGTGGTATGCAAGCATACATGTAGGTAGAGCACTCATCAGAACACTGCTTAGCAGTTTCTCTCGCCCTCAGGCTGATGACATGGCCTGGATGTCTCCTAAAGAGTCAGCCAGGTCTGTAGGGGGTTCCTCTGTAGATGAAGATGGCTATGCCAGTCTAGATATCAAGCTTCCAAGCTTCTACTTCAGCAAGCTCTTGAGAGTGAAAATCACAAGGAAGAGGAAATGTTCTGTCAAAGCGACTCTGGGCAACAGACAACATTTGAAGGTACAGTCATCACTAGGGGTCTGATAGGTGGGCATAAGCATATGCTTAAGTTCTCCCAATGCAGAACATCACAACACAAGAGAGATCTAGACCCAACATGGGGCCAAGCAGGGCTCGAGTCCAGAAACAGTTCATCTCTTCTCCCCCGAGTATGCTAGAGAAAAGGCCAGCCCTGCCTGACACAGTTCCCAGCCTGCTTTCTAGCCAAGGAGAGGCTGCGGGTCAGCTCTCAGGTTGAGATAACTATTGCCCCCTCCCCAAACCAAACCCTGTCCACTGACCATCCTGAGGACAGGGAGACTGACAGGAAACAGGAGGGCCACAGACCAAGCATAGCATCCTGCCTGTCACCACAGCCTGGGGTAGAGGCTGGGAAGGGAGAAAAAGAACTGGGTTGTTAATAGAACATCCATCTCCTCAGCCCTGCTCATGGATGACCTCAGGGTGTAATTCACACAGGTAGGTTGAAGTGGATGAGGGCTTATACTACCCCATCTCTGAAGCTTGGCCTGCCATGCCCCACCACGGCAGGCTTCACAGGCAACCACTACAGTATACATGGGGGAAGGGCCATCTGCTTACCAGGTTTTCTATGGAGCATTGGAACTCACTAATCTTCTTCAAGGTCTCCTTATCCCGTTTCACTTCATTGATGTACATGGCCAAGTCCTGGAATTCAAGACAGAATCAGTGCACCAAGTCACACAGGGGGTGAACTCCCACCCCCTTCCTAGCCCAGCAGGATTCTACACCCTTCCTCCATCTTGCCTGGGGCTGCTCAAACTCTGGGCTATAGGAGTAAGAAACACCACGCACAGGTAACCAGGAAGGAATAAGGTGAAGAACACAACATTTGAACCCAGAGTACACACTAAGCTGAAGAGGGTGCCGGAAGTCCCCAAATCCAGGCTTCCCTCACTCAGCAGGCCTTGTGTGTCAGAATGGAGATGCAGCCCAGCCTGGCTAAGCCACATTAGGCCACACACAGCCACTGTCTAGACCTTTCTACTCTCCAGAAGCCCCAGTCCCACCTCCCTTGCAGAGCCTGGGTATTCTGTAAGTAGCTTGAGGGAAGGAGGTCCCTATATGATACTGCAATCCTCTAGTTAGTCACCAGGGGGCAGTTCTCACTTTGCTTTGAAATGCCCTGTGGTGGCTGGGACAGAGCAGCAGGGATCCTGCCCAGAAAGCAGAACAGAGAGGAAATCCCCAATACAAAAGCCAGACTCACATCCTGGAGTCAGTTCCTACCTCTCCCATAGCCTATCTTGTTTCTGGGGTCACTTCAAGGACCACCTCACAAACCTTGCAACTGGCATCTCCCTACCAGATGTCACAGTTTTGCAAAGGGTGGAGTTTGTTAGAAATCAACAGCAGGCACAGATCTGAGCATGTGTGGCCCTGTGCACACCTGGCAGGAGTCTCAGAAGTGCATGTCTGGGATGGGGATTGCCACAGAGACAGAAAGTATAGCTCCGGAGGCAACTAACAGAGAACATAGCCTTGCATGGAGGGTGTACTGCAACCCTGTTGGAAACATGAAAGCTCAGACAATGGCTGGATGAATGATTTTCTGCTTTGCATTGGGGACATTAAAGGCTTTTAGATTCCTGTATTAGTTAGTTTTCATAGAGGGCTCTTCAGTTGAAGAACGACATTGATCACACTGTCTTGTGTGGTCATGTCTGAGAGATTGTCTTGACAGATGATGGAGAAGACAGAGAATGGACCACTGCACATGGCACTACTCCTAGGCAGGTGGGCTATAGAAGAGAGCTAGCTAAGCACTCCAGGAAGTGAGTCAGTAAGCAGCCTTCTTTCCATGGTTTCTGTCTTGAATTCTTCCCCTGATTTCCCTTCATGACAGACTGTGACCTGGGAATGTAACATTCTAAAATAAATCTTTCCTCCCCTAAATTGCTTTTGATCATGATGTTTATCACAGTAACAGAAAGCAAACCAGGAAACCTTCCAAACTTTGAAGTTTAAAGAGCTGACTCTGAGTGATAAGGACACAGAACAAGTCACAAACCTTCTGTGGAATGTCAGGAGCTACGTATCCTCAGGGTACTTTGCCACAAAGGGACCAGAAGCCACCTGCTGGCCAGGCTGAGGCTCAGGGTCCATCTGTAGCTATGAAGTACATGCTCCAGGGATGGCTGGCTGACACTCAACTGTGTCTGTGGTGGGAAGATGTGATCCTCTGCTGCAGTGACCTCAGGTCCCCAGGGGAGCCAGCCAGAGGTCCCCGTGTCAGCCACAGCACCCACGCTTAAATACACCCAAAACTGGTGTCAACTTTCCCATCTGCATGAAGCCTGCTCAGAGAGAGCTGCAGGCAGCTTTGAGAGCCAGCATCTTCCCCTTGAGCCTATGTGGGAGTCAGATTGCTGCTCCTCCCTCTTCAAATGAGGTGTCTTGGGAAAAGGAGGGGGTCCATGGACCAGAGGACTCCTCAGGGGCAGGCTGAAGTCAAGGTTGCAACTCACTGCTCCTATAACACTGCAATGCCAAAGGGACCCAGCCTGTGTCAGGCATTTTACCCTAAGACACAGGTGTCCATGAGAGGCACAGGTATGGCTGTGGGGCAACCTGACAGTCCCTGGGTTAAGAAGTCTGGAAGGTGACTTTCTTAGTGTCAAGTTCACAGCAGAGACAGGATGAGTGGGACGCAGGCAGATTAATGAGAAAGAGGCTGTGGCCTGAGCACACCTTGGGGTGGGAAAGAATAGAGCATGCCCAGGAACCTGAGGGTGGCCAGGCTTCTCTAGGATCTGAGGATTTCCTGTTACACATATCTTCATTGACCCTGGCTGCATTCAGAGAGCAGCAGGAGCCACCAAGGTTTCTGAGCAGGTCAAGGATGTGCTGAGCTTCTGGGGACAGTGGACAGTTATACACAAGGCTATATGGAATGGCTGAGCAGGGCTCTTCAAAGTCAGCATGTGAAAAGGAATCTTCGAGTGAGTGATAGGGCATGGCACGGGACAGACCTTCAGCAGCAGGTGCTCAGGAGGAAAGAGGTACGGCTGGATAGAGCTGGCACCCATTGAGAACCATTGAGCAGACACTCGGAAACACAGTGTGGGGACAGGGCAACTGCTGGTGCGTGAAGTTGGGGACTTTGAACACATGGTGAAAGCAGCCTAGGCTGCAGCTCCTTCTACCATCATGTAAGTCTGACCCCATCTCCAGTGTCCTATCTGTGTCACCCTGGGCAAATGGTCTGCATTGCCAAGGAGCTCAGGTTGGATCCAGGACCGTGTGCACACCAGTCTGGGGATTCCCCCTCTCTGCCTCATTTATTTACCTGCATGGCTTCCAGTGCTTCTTTGAGCTGTTGTCTTTCTGGCCGGTCTGCAGAATGGCTTAGGAGCTCCTATGGGAGTAAGCAGGGACCCAGGGTGAGCCCTCAAGGTCCCAGTCCTGTGCCTGCCCCTACCCAGTGCACACGGAAAGATCCTCGGGACAAAAACCACCCACCAGCCCAGGTGCAAGCCCATCTGCCCAACTCCAACAGACACGGGGATCCCTTACAGAGTAGATACCTGGCAAGGAAGCACAGAGGTCAAGAGACCGAGCAGTTGCTCTCCTCTCCCTGGTCCAAGGGTGCTTTCCTGTCTCTTCCCACTTTCCTAATGTTAATTTATTTTATTCATAATTTTTCTTCCAGTTGCCATGATACCCCTTGATGGTGTGTACTGAACATGAGCTCATTTATCAGCCTGTGTGCCACCCTGCCTGTGGGCCCATGCCATCAGAGTCCAGTGACAGAGGGCATGGTGAGCAGGCTGACAGCCTCACCTTGAGCAACAGGTGGTACTTCAGCACCCGCTGCATGGGCACCACCAGCAGATCTTGCAGCTTGAACTTGCCATCCTGGACCTTGAGTGTGCATTCCTGGTGAGAGAGGAGCAAGTGGTTACAGGGTCCTCTCCCTGGGAGAACCCCCCCCACACACACACACAACTGCCAGCCATATAGAGAAAGAACCACAGCCCTGGATTCTCGGTCTTCTAGAGTATGCATGAGGTTGGTATCACCATGTGGGCAAAATATACTACCCCTCACATCGGAACATGATGGGACCCTGGGATCAGAGGCATCCTATTGCACAACAGTGCCCACTGGGACTGGGCTTTACAGAACAAGGCCATGGATCTGTTATCTGCTCCCTGACAGCCAAGTGGGGAGGGGGTTTATACAAGGCTGTGAGGTCAGCCAGGATCCCCTGGGGTGCATGGACAGGAGAGACAAACATCATATGCTACCAATGCTGAAGCTGGAGCTCTGAATCCAGAGCTTTCCTAGCTACACAGGATAGGGGCACTCCTGCACCTGGAGGTGATCAGGAGCAAGGAAGGCAAGGCGCTAAAGAGAGAAACAAGCTGACAGGCAGGCAAACCTAGGCTTGGAAAAGAGGCCCAGTGTATCATGCACGTCACCTTGATCTGCTACGGTCTCCTTAGCAGAGGCTAGGGTCAAGTGTCAGTCACTAAGATGGACTTGTCCAGGCCCCCACAGCCTCTGAGACTGGCTGTGTTCTAGTTTGGGACTGGAAATCGCCCAACAAAATGGGGGAATAGCCACAAAATCAAGGATGGGTGTTGAGGGAAGTTGGTGTGTCCCTTGGGGCTTGGCTAGCCAGCTATGCCCAAGGTATCAGGACGCCTTGTTACCTCCACTTTCTGCCTGAAGTCCTCTCGGCTGGCGAGGAGCTGGTTCAGTGTGCTCTGAGCGTGTTCCATGTGGCTACAGTACTCTCCATAGATCAGGAGCCTAAGGAAGGGATAGCAACTTGTACATAGCGCCAACCACATGGGCACCAATCCAGTAAGACATTTACAACTGCTATGAGCTACACTACAGTGCACAGGCAACGTGAACATACATGCAGCCATGCATCTCTGAGACGCATGCAGCTACAGTATCCTGACTCCTTCTCAGGCAGGCTGGAGAGCCTCAGGGTCACTGCCCAAATGGCTCTGCTCCTCCAGCCCGCCTCCTGCTTTCCCATCATTTACACGACCAAGTTGAGAAGAGGGCTCCCAAAACATCAGCAACAGAGGGTTACCCAATTCCCCTAGCCAAGGAGGCCACTTCCCACGGGCTACTGCAAGTCATGACCCATGGCTCGCCTGTTCTGGAGAGGAATGCCTGGAACAGAGAAGAGGTCCTAATGGGGCTCTCTGCTTGCCTCCAGACCTAGCATGGGGACTATTAGTGAGCCACACAAATTGGGGGTAGCCTCTGGTGCTTCTTCAGGGGTGTCAGTGGCCACATCCAGAGATATGCAAGGCCTGTGCCCAGCCAGAAGCAAAAGGGTCCCAGCTGCCCTAGCCAGCCCTACTTAGTTTTCCCCTCTTAGCCTCCTCACCATAGCACACAGGTCACCATCTCTCTTTTGTCATTCAGAATATTGGTTGGTATCATACCCTGTCCTCTTTGTCATCACCTGGTTCCATGTGCTGTACCCAGGGGACGACATCTCTTCAAACCAGAACACCTGCACTCTCAGGACAAGAGGGCAGCTAGCCTGTAACTCTCTCCCTAGATTTCTCTGAACACACATGAGCCCCTATAAGAGGAGACAGTGCCACAGGACAATATTAAGGACAAGCATGATGGCAGCCATGCCTCACTAGACTACTGCTCTCTCAATGACAGTGTTAAGGGTCCATTCTCCAAGTGGTCATCCAAGGCTACTGAAGGCCCAGTGAAGTGTCTGCCATAGTAGCCGTCGAGTGTCAGCCTGGCAAAGAGCTTATTGGGAGGCTCGGCTTACCCTTAGTGTCCCAGCCCCACCTTACCCCACCCCAATATGGATCAGGGAGTCCATGAGAAGGACCCCCTGGATCTTCCTCAGGCCGACTTTAACAACCTTGCAGCAGACTTTGTCCACTGGGACTCTTGCTCCTCTTAGGCAGCAGACACAGGCCTGAGGCAGTTGGCTAGAGTTCCTGCAGGAGCTGCTCTGGAAGAAGCACTTGCTATAGTTCAGGGGGTGGGGGGAGCACTTGCTGTAGTTCCTGGGATGGGGTGGGCTTTGTTTCCTAGTGTTCTCTCTGCTTCCTGCTTGAAGATTTAAGATGTGAGCTCTGAACTGTTTCTGCCTCTACGCCTTTGCTCCATTATAGTGGTTTGAATAAGAACCATACATGGAATGCTTAGTCATCAAGGAGTGGTATTACTTAAGAAGGATTAGGAGGTGTGGCCTTGTTAGAGGAAATATGTCACTAGGGGAGGGCTTGGAAGTTTCAAAACTTAAGCCAGGCCCAGTGTCTTTTCCTGCAGATGCAGACACATCATGAACTCTAACCCTCTGGGAGCCAGAGCTCAATTAAACACTTTTCTAAGTTGCCACATTCATGATGTTTTATCACAGCAATAAAAAGTAACTAATACACCTAGGCTTTGGGACCAGATGACACTCAAGCCCTTCCCAAGCTCAAGCCTAGGGGCAGAGGAAGAAGGCAGCAGGCAGGAGCCCTGGCACCATGCATTGCTAGCTTGACAAGTGTGGCTCTAGCAGTGCTCCTTGTTCATCCACGGGACCCCAAAGGACCTTTGGTCCTGCCTATCCTGTCAGATGCACAGCTACAATGCCAGCACAAGCAGGAAATTAAGGAGCTGGGGGACAGGCGGATGGATGTAGCTCTGAGGCTGAGTGTTTGCTCAGCATATGGAGTCCAGATATTGTGCAACATGATTCTCCTCTAGGTGTTCCACCTGCCCCCTTGCCTACATCAGGTTGAGGAACACCGTGAAACTTCTGATACGTGAAGCCTTTGGTGCAGCAACCGAGGACTTTCCTGCACTCCCCCCTAACTCTTTTGTCCATGCACAGATTGCTTCGAAGCATAGACTATGGACGTGGTTTACTGTTCTCAGAACTGAACAAATGATTCATTCTGAGAGTGTTGCAGGAAGTTGGCTGTGGAAGTAAGAGGTAAGGGGCCTCCATCTTAACCACCAACATTTTGTACTATTAAGAAAAATATTGGGCCGGAAGAGATAGCTCAGAGGTTAAGAATAAAACCAGCTCTTGCAGAAGACTATGTTAGGTTCCTGGCACCCATGTTGGGTGGCATCCATGTTGGATGCCCTTTTCTGGCCTCCATGGGCACCTGCACTCTTGTACACATACTCCAACACCAACACATAATTAAAAACAAGAAAAAAATACCCACAACTTGGAAATAAGGTTACAGAGGCACAAACTTAAGCTCATGCATCTCAAACTATACCAGTTCATCCTGAAACATAAGCCCTCCTTGGTATACACCTCCATGTGGCTCCTGCTCTTAGTGAGACTGGGGGTGGGGTCGGGGCAGTAACAGGGCACACAACAAATGACCCATCCTCACAGAGGACACACTTCCAAGCTCTGGCCCTGGAAGCTGTGGGTCTCTTGTGTAGAGCACGTGGGCCTCCGCCACTGCTCTGCATCAGCTTCAGCCTCCCTCCAATCCCTGCTGTAGAGCTACGGGACATGGCTAAAACTAGGGCGCACACACAGAGGTGTGGCTGCTGTACTTCTGGACATCAAGTTCTGATCGCACCAAAGAGTGGGCACCTCTTCCCAAACTGTCTGTGATCCCCTAATCTATTTGGCCTGCAGAGCATCAAGGATGGAACAGAACATGTCAAGTAACTTAGGCTGTAACGTTTCCTTGGGTTTTAGCCAACCACATTAGCCACCACAATTCCAATAAGCCAGAGATGCAGAGAGGATTGCCGGGACCCCCACAAGTCCCTACTATGGAACTGAGGCTTGGTGGTTCCCAGCCCCCCAAGCTGTGATGGAGAAGCAGAGGGTAGTGATCCCGGTTACAGGGAGGAACAAGGATCCAGAGACGAGTGGCCTCAGCCCCGAGAATGAGAGGCTGAACCTTGGGGAACTGCCCTGCCTCTGCCATCCTGCCCCGGCTGGTTTCCAGATACACAAGGTCAAAACTTGAAGACAGTTGAGGTTCTGGTCCAGCCAGCTGTCACTCACCTTTCCTTAAACTCCAGGAAGACCTTGGCCAGGGTACTGCCACCAGCCATCATGGACACATCGATGGCTCGCAGAAAGCTGTGGTGCACCTTGATGAGGTCCTGGAGGGAAAGCAGGCTCAGTGCACAGCCAGGCACAGCCAGGCACAGCCAGGCCTGCTGGCCAACACACCCAAGGGGTGCTGCAGGGTGCTCACCTAAGCCTATGAAGGCTAATATCACTCACTCAGCCTGGAAGCTTCTAGCAGGTGTGTCAAGCTTTTTCGTTGTTCTGTTTTGTTTTTGAGGCAGGGTTTCTCTGTATAGTCCTGGCTGTCCTGGAACTCACTCTGGAGACCAGAGTCTGGTCTGAGTTGAGGCTGGTCTCAAACTCAGAGATCTGCCTGCCTCTGCCTTTCAAATACTGGGATTAAAGGTGTGGGACACTACCACTTGACTAACTTTTTGGCATTATAGCCCAGTGCCATCAAAAGGTGGCACTCAAGAACCACACAATTACAAAAAAATAAAACTGCAAACCAAATCTTATGTTTTAAGTAAATTTGAGACTTAGTGTTGGGCTGCATTCAAAACCATCTTGGGCCATATGCTCCCTGCCTCCCAACCACAGGTCACACACCCTTGTTACAGTGCCCAGCACATGGTGACCCTGAAGCACACTATGGTCGTGCATGGAGGGAGCCGCCCAGACCCAAATCAGCCCCTAGGGACACGTGGCAGCTGCCTCAGGACAGACTTGAAGCCAGAAGATGGAAAAAGCCATGTAGCTAGTCTCAGCCAGCAACCTTGTGGTGCTACTCAGAAGAATGGGGCCTCCAGCAGCACTCAATCCTCAACTGCTGCAAGAAGTGACACCCTCACCGTGTCACCTTGGCCTGGAGCTTCCTCAAGTTTCACCCCAGATACACTATGGTGCTCAGCGCACTGCCCACCCCCTCTACTTCTCCCAGACTCCTTCCTATCCCAGCCATTTGTACTGGTTGAGGCCCAGACAGTAAAAGGAACACTGGTCAGCTCTGTGTGGGAGAGTAAGACCCCACCCCCACCCCCACCTCAGTCTTTGAGCTGATGGGAGGTGGTAAGGAACCAGAAGCAAGCAGCATGCTCAGAGGGGCGTTCATTCATATGTGACATGTGGAGTTGCAAACCAGCTGTCTCCACAAGCTAACTTCACACTCGCTCATCTGGTGCACATGAGTAGTCAGACACCTGCAGAGCACAGCAGCTGTGGGGCGCACTTCCCTCTGTGTTAACACAAGCCTTGCTAACAGTCCTGTGGATCTCGAGTCCACTCCAGAGCTGTGTGAGTCTGTGCACAGCTGACAACTTCCATAGCAAGTCACAGGAACACTCTCAGGCCACACTAGATACCACCTCTACTGCCTCTTGAAGGACAGTCTCCAATGTAGGAAGCTATACATCTGTCAACCATAAGCCAGCCAAGGCACTAGCAGGGATGTAGTTCTACAAATCCCCAGGGATATCATCTTAGGAGACAGCTGCGTACCTGGCAGAAATATGCCAGAAAGCTTACCTCCAGGTTGATGAAGACGGCAGCCATGTCCGCCGGGCTTAGCACCAGCCGCAAGGGACCCATGTAGTTCTGGAAGGAAGAAGTTTATGTTGCCTCTCAGTATGTAGGGCACTTTTCAGTCAAAGCCAAAGTTGCCCTGCACAGGGAGGTGGTCAGTGCTCACTGGACAGCACATACAGAGGGCAATGTGTAACCACACAAATATGAGATAGCACAGCAGGCAAGGCAGGCTGGGACCAAGACCACAACCCATGCCCACCGCACAGCTCTGTGGAGGCCATAATAAGGCTAGCCTGGGTCAAGGGGCAATGTACACCAGGACCAGGGCTAGAGGCTCCCCGCCTACCATTCTGGCCACACTGGGTGTGGTGGTTTGTATATGCTTGGCCCAGGGAGTGGTATTATTTAGAGGTGTGGCCCTGTTGGAGTAGATGTGTCACTGTGGGCTGAGGCTTTAAGATCCTCATCCTAGCTGCCTGGAAGCCAGTCATCCATCTCCTGTCTGCCTTTGAACAAAAATAGAAAACTCTCAGCTCCTCCAGCCCCATGTCTGCCTGGATGCTGCCATGTTCCCGCCTTGGATGATAATGGACTGAACCTCTGAACCTGTAAGCCAGTCCCAGTTAAATGTTGTCCTTATAAGAGTTGCCTTGGCCATGGTATCTATTTATAGCAATGGAAACCCTAACTAAGACACTGGGGCTCACTCCACACCAGAGAGCAGCCAAGAGGATTTTAGCTGACTGTGGTATTGTTCTTTACACGAGGACACAGACACATCAGGAAGATTCAAAAGCAAGGCCTACTGTGTGGTGGTGGGGCTAGGCAGATGGATATAGGCCACTGGCAGTACTCAGGGCCTTGGGTGGCATCTAGTCACATGGCCCATCACATCCAATGTACACTCCTGGCTACCAGCAAAAGCACCAGCTTGCCCCACGGGGAATGGGAGGTTTGGAGAACTTAGCTCAAGGTCTGGCCTCACATGCTCAAAAGCAGAGCTACAATCGTGGCTGGTTTACATGGAAACACTGAGAAGAAATGCAGGAGAGGCTGGGAGGCTTTCCACAGAAGGGAGGGGAGACACCTTTGTGTGGGAATATTATGGCCAGGTGGAGGGGCTGCTACCCCAGTATGCTGTGTCAGCTTACAGTGGTTCTCAGCCTTCCTAAAGCTATGACCTTTAATACAGTTCTTCATGTTGTGGTGACTCCTACCATAAAATTATTTCACTGCTTCTTCATAATTATAATTTTGCTACTGCTATGAATCATAATATAAATTATGATCTGTTATGATACAAGATATCTGAATTGAGATCTCCAAAGGGGTCGAGATTCACTGGTTGAAACCTGCTGGTCTAGAGTCACGAGAAGGGAGTTTTAATGGAGGGATTGCTCAGTTCAGACTGCCCTGTGGGCACATCTGTGGGGGCCAGGCTTGATCACTCATTGAAGCAGGAGGACCCAGCCCACTATGAGTAGCACTAGCCCCTGGCCAGGTGGTCCTGGGCTGTTTAAGAAAGCTAGCTAAGCATGAGCCTGTGTGGGCCAGCAAACAGCTTTTCTCCATGGTTTCTGCTTGAGGTCCTGCACTGATTCCCTCTGCTGACTATAATCACCAAGTTAGGATACCCTAAGCTCCTTTGGTCAGGGTGCAGGGTGTCTTCTCACAGCCAGAGGGGGGTGGGGGTTTCTGGGTTGGGAGAAGCAGCTGGGTGCCTGGTTGAGCAAGTCTTGAACCCCGGACCTTTATCAGGATGGCAGGTGTTCAGCTCTGCCTTCAGGCCTTGGTTCTTTTCATTCAGCTTCGGCCCTCCACAGCCCCTCCCAATGAGAGGTCTATGACCGTCAGTCACGAGGTACAGTGCCTCAGGCTCTCCCACATGTAGATGAGGTATCTCCAAGCTCTCAGACCAAGCCAATAGGCTTTATCTGCTGCCAGACCCAAACTCACCCTGAAACTGTATATAAGGGCTCTATTCAGGAGAAGTAAAGGTGTGTTCGAGAATCATCCTGGTATTCAAATTCAAGAGTTTTTGTCTCAAGAGCTGTAACACTTGGGGAGAGATCTGCTCTCCCAGAACCTTCCTGGGGCACCAAGCTGCTTCCTCGCCAGCTAGCCAGCTTCTTACCAGCCCAGCCCGGGCCGGCTCAGCGCTGAGACAGGTGCAGAACCTGGGAGTGACAGAGCAGCAACAGCGGAGACTTGGGCAGAGGCAGCAGGGGGGACAGGCAATCTCCCCTCCTTGCTTACACTCTGTACCCTTTGGCCCAGACCTCTCACACCAGGCTGGGCTGGAGACCAACAGACAGTGGAGATGCAGGCAGAGGTGGCGGCAGAGACAGTAGCAGACCCTCCCTGCTCTCACTCTGTCCTCAGCCGGGAGATTGTCGTGGGACACCCTCTGGAATCGGGGACCCACAAGAGAGAGAGAGAGAGAGAGAGAGAGAGAGAGAGAGAGAGAGAGAGAGCAAGCTGGAATGGGCACTAAGACTGTCTACCTGGGCGTCAGGAGAAGTGGGTCTCACCTTCTCGATGTCCTCCAGGGTGCGGTAGTACTTGGCCTCGGTCTCTTGAATCTCTAACAAACAGCAGCTTCTCTTGTCATCCTCGGTCATGCCCATTTTCTAGAGGAGACATGGCACGTGAGCTAGGATCCCGCAACCTGGCCACCCAGGTACCCGCTGCCGGTCACCTGTACCACACAACAGGATGACACCTTTCCAGTGTGGTCACAAGATTATTCGGTGTACAGTGAGGCCGGAGCCCCTCCCATTATCTGTGGTTGAAGAAACCGAGGCACATGGACTCCTGGGTACTCACTCCTGACTCAGAACCCTGAGTCTTCACCAGACTAGGACAAAAGCCTCAGGAGAGGATTGTACGACATACAGCTGAGGTGTGCTCATGACGCTTGTATGAGTGGGTCAGCCCTGTCCAGCAGTGGGCATTGGCTAACTCCTTGGAGATCCACAGCTGACCCATTCTGGCTTCCAAACATCAAATGCCCCAAAGGTCAGACCTCCCAGAGGAGACACCAGCCTCCAACCAGAAAGCCTGAGATAACAGCTCACCAGTGGGGCACGTGGGGACATACGCCTACAGCAGGAGCATACTGCCTGACCACACTGACTGGGAGACGGCCTGCATGGGTGGAGTGAGCAGGCTCATGAGCTTTAGAGCTGCTTTCTTTTGGTTCACTCAACTCAGAGAGCCTGGTCTGCCCCAAAGACTCTGAAGAGCCAATACTGGACAGATGCCTACCCAGCTACCTTCCTGTTGGTCCTAAGAGCCCCTGATGTTCACACCACAGTGCTCTTAAGCACTTTGCAACATGGAGCAAGGACTCAGTGAGGCCCATGGGGTGGATCTGCCTGACCCCGTGTCTTACCGAGAACATGGTCCTTAACTTTCCCTATGGCCTCTGACACCTTCCCAACAGGTGGAAAGATAGCCGGCAGGAGCCCACCTAGCGTGTCTTACCTGCACTTACCTGCATGTATCTGATCTGAATGCATGGAGGAGCAAACAAGATTGAACCAGTCAGCAGTGTCTACTGTCCTCAAGCCATGCTTGGGAAGTAAGGGTCACCACCAACAGCCCACCCTACTGTCAGTCCCAGCCCCAACAGCCATGTCACAGCCCTTCCCAGAGCCCGCCATAGAAGGGTCAGAACACAGCATAAGGTCTAGACTCTCCTTGCCTGGGCTCTGAAAGTAGAGCCTGCCTTTACCTCACTACATATAAGTGGGTTCCAATTACCTCACTCTTAGACAGCTAGCTCCAGATGTGATGAGAAGTGGGGAAACCCTTTGTTGCACCTCAGAGACCCCTCACAGCAAGAAGTGTACATCCCCTCTGTGGACGGACTAGACAACTCAGGAGATCTAACACCAGTGCTGGATATTAGAACATTGGCTATCCTTTAGAACATGTTCCTGATCTGGGGTTCTTCAGGACCAGGGACAGTGGCAGGCTTCTGGGAGAGCTGCAGGAGTCTCAGGAGAACATGACAGACAACTTGGTCACCTCAAACATGCCCACAAGCCACTGTGACTGCATACTGATATTTACCCCGAGAGAGGCCTTAATCAACCTGATGGGGCCAGCTCTGGGGAAGTCCTGATCAGACTTTCTGCAAGGCTGGAGAGTAGAGTTGACTACTGAAGCCTCTCCCACCTGCTCTGGAGCCCCGAGCATGATGGGGGGGAAAGCAGCGCAGGGACAAATGTGCATGGTGTTCTCAGGAGTAGTGTGAGGAGCTGCAATATCCCAGTTAGCCTTTCATCTCTCCTCCCAAGCCAGGGACACAGCAGGATACCAAGCAGCCTAGGAAAGGCTCTCCAGGCTTGTTAGGACTTCTCTCAGCTTTTTGTTTCTCTGTCACCAGCTGGAGGCTCCCACACAGATGGGAGACAGAAATATTGGCTTTTGATAAATTTCCCACTTCTTCAGGAATACACATACGTCAAAAGCCTCCACAACTGACAAGTGGCAAGGTGCCCACCTTGGGGGAGTTCGGGGGTCTGTGGGAGCTGTGGCCTGCCCCTCCAGGGCCCCCTCTCTGGATCCCTCCAGGTGGACCCCCACCTTCCATACAGCAGCTGTTGGCAATAAGCCAGAGCTGGCACAAACCATGGTCCTCAAGATCATTAGCCAAGGCTACGTGAAAATAAATACCCTTCAACATAAAAGGCGTGCAGCTGGCTGGCTGAGCCCACACAGGCCTCCTCATTCTGCACACAGAGTTACAACAATGCATGCCTGCTTAGTAGCACTGTGTTAGACTGAATACAGAGTTACTATTTTAAAGCTCTCTGCATAGGCAGGACTATGAACCTTCTAAGAAAAAATTTGTAGCCACTCTGCTGGAGAAGCCCAACAGTCATAGGGCCCCTCTTAGCAGAACTGCAAGGACACTGCAGGGGAGCCATACCTGAGGGCAGGGAGGGGGGCAGTCAGAAAGACCTGGGTCTGTACTCAGGCAGCTCCTATGGGAATGCTCAGTTGCCTGTAGCACAGGGGGAGGGTTGGGGAGGGGGAGTGCTCACCATGGGCTGCTGTACCTCCACCTTAATGATGTCCTCATAAATGTCATCTCCTTCATCTTCACACGGGACACAGTCGTAGATGTCCTCGCCCAGGTCATGCTCGCTGCACAGGGAGAGGTGGGTGAGCAAGGAAGGAAGGTCCAGCCGCCCGGACTAGGAGGCTGCAGGGCAAATCCATGTCTCCCACCTTGGCTCAGGTTCCCCATCTACACAGTGGAGTTCCTCTGTGGGTTTGAATCAACTCAGGCAGAGACTGCCATGGGAATCTTTGAAAGTTCTCCTTTCCCCAGGGATGCCCCAAGCCTGGAGTAAATGCTGGAGACACACCAGTGAGACACACCTTCCTTCACTGGGGTCCTCTGTGGCAGATTGACAGAAATGCCCAGCTCCTACCCCAAAACAAAGCTCCTGTCTCAGCCCATGCCCAGGAGCCCCAAGTGCTCCATCATCTTCGTGGCCCCATCATGAAGGTCAAGGGTATAGGACCCACATAGGGCTGCCTCACACACTGTGGACACCATGCAGAACGGAGGAATGGAGACACAGAACGCATGGTGACCTTCTCAAGTCAGCACTCATGAAAGCAAAGACCAGTCTAACACTCAGGAGTTTTGACTCTTCAGAATTTCTCCAAGCTACCCATGACCATTAATCAACACAGACTGTCTATTTGATGGGTGCCCACCACCACTGTTGTGCTCTGAATGAGAACAGATCCAGTAGGCTTATTTGAATGCTTGGTCCCGTCGCTAGTTGGTGGAACTGTTTTGGGAAGGATTAGGGGTGTGGCCTTGCTAGAGGTGTTTTACTGGAGGTGAACTTTAAGGTTTCAAAACCCAGTCAGTTTTTCAGTTTCTCTCCCCCCACCTTCACCTCCAACTTGTAGATAAGACATAAATCTTAGCTACTCCTCTAGCACCACGCTGGCTGCCATGCTCCCCACTATGACAGCCATGGATTCACCCTCTGAAACTGTCATCAAGCCCCCATTCGATGCTTTCTTTTATAAATTACATTGGCCATCATGTCTCTTCACAGCAATAGAAAGTGACTAAGACAATCACCTCAGAGGCAAACCTCTGAGCATGTCTGAGGGTGTCTCTAAATTACATTAACTGAGGTGGGAAGACCCACCTTGAATGTGGGTGCACTATCCTGTGGGCTCGGACCCTGGACTAAAGGAGAAAAAGAACTGAGCACCAACATCCCTCCCTCCCTCCCTCTTCCTCTCCGTCTCTCTCTCCTTCCAGACTGCAAGTGCAGTGTTGACATCTTAACCACAGCAGAAAGCAGAGAGTGCACTCTCTTTCAAAGCCTGCTTCTGCTTCTGGTGGCATACTTCCTCCAGCAAGGCCATACCTCCCAAACACTGCCAGCAACTGGGAACCAAGTATTTAAATGCCTAAGACTATGAGGGACATTTATGATTCAAACCATCACAGGCACCCCCCTGAGTGACTGTTCTTTAGACCCCTGCCTAATGTGTCTAGGGGTTCCCAGGTACACCTGGAGCTACTGCAGTCCTCAGAACACCCTTCCACCCACCTTATAGCTGATGGTGAGGCTGCCCCACACTTCAACAACCTCCGCCTTCACCCTGAACCCTCCCCACAATGCTTCAGGTCTCCTCACGTAGTCCGAGTGCCATCCCACACCCACTGCCTCAGAAGTCAGCCGTGCCCCAGAGTTCAGAGAACCTGATGGGAAGCCCTGTACAGTGAGATTCCACAGGCTGAGAGCCAAGGTAGGAGGGGTGGTGCTCTGGGTATCCCACAACTGCTGGTCAGAGAACAAAGCTAACACATGACAATCAACTTCAACAGTTACACAGAGAACTGCCCATATACTCTGTTTCAAGACAGTCTCAACTCTGAAGCCCAAGCTGGCTTAGAACTTACACTGGAGCCCAGGCTAGCCTAAATCTCGTGACATTCTTCGTGCCCCACTGGTCTCCTGAGTATGAGGGGATGTGCCACCATCCTCTGCGTAAGCTCCTTTTATTATTGTGTATATGGGCAGGTGACAGTCAGATCACATTACTGTAGACTCCACTATCTCTTTCACGTTTAATCGGACCCCACAGATCTAACTGAAGTGCCACGCTTGCACGCAGGTATTTACTCTCTGACCCACCAACTGAAGTTCTTAAAAGCCACTAGATCTCTTTAGGACCATAAAATCCTTAGAGGTGGCCATTTTGCACATTAAATAATACATATACCTGTGCTTGTTTCCACACATGCAAGCAAACACACACACACACACACTCCCCGTGGCCTCAGCCTCAAGTCCTCCTGACTCTTTTCCCTGACTGTACTGGGGCATCATAACATCATAACTGGGGGACAGACACTGGGGTTACACAGCCTCCTGCCACCCAGGGCTTACAATCAGAGAGTACACCCTGTGATCTTTCCAACTAACCTACCCTAAGCAGGTCTGACTGGCTGTCTCTTGGAAACTGTCACCAGAGATAAAACAAATCATTTCCCCGGCCTCTCTGGGCTCTGTGCCAAAGTGCCCTGCCACTCTTCTCTCCAGACTCCTGGGTCAGGTGAGGGCTTCAAGGTCCTTTCTGGCAGATACTAGTTGGCCAAACTTCTGCCGTGCAATAGAGCGAGGCTGGAGGCACAGCAGCTGTCTAGAATTCCCACCACATGGAACTGAGGGAAACAGATGCTTCCAGGCTTCGGAAGGAGATTGCTTGGGACAGATGAGATACCTCCCTGTCTAAAGACAGACACCGGCTTCGCTCCAATGGGCCGGGGAAGGAAGTGATGGACAGGGAGCTTTGATGGTTACATGTTCACAAGCCAGTGAAGGGGCTCAAATGGGTGAAAGTTGAGCCTGAATGGGGGTCTTCAGGCTGGAAACCAGCCAGCATCGGAACCCCCCCTTCTCTCACCCCACCTTGTGAGGATATCCAAGACAACTCCAGGACTCGGGCCCCACCCAGCTGGGTTCCTTACCAATAAAGACCTGTACACAGACCCTACCTCAGACCTCCTGGAACCAGCTCGAGGTATGACTGTTTGCTCTACCAAGGACTTGGCTCCTAACTCAATTGAAGGTGAAATGGCTGGAAAGCCACGGATCTACTGTGACCTCTGCCCTGATTCATAGTGAAATGTGCATTCATGTGGAAATACTCCATGACACTGGGCTCTGAAGTTTCTGACAGATGGACAAATGTACAAAGAGCAGGTGGCAGATGCTAACCTTGGGCAGAAGGGATCAGCCGCAACGAAGCCCAACCCAGCAGTGGGGTTTGTGAGGCAGACCCAGCAGTTCCTAGTCAGATGAGGCTTGTTGAATGACAGTGTCAAATCTCCCATGAGCTTGTGGGCTCTGGCAAAGGTGGCCCCTCAACAGGAAAGCTTTCCATACCCTCACTCCTAGCTGAATCTCCATACCAGCTATACACACCTGCATCCACTGGCCTCCTAAACCATGCAAGATGGTATTTTCAAAGTGTTTTTGGTAAGGAAGATTTATAAACCTAACAATGCACCTTGGCTGACTCACTCTGACAAAGGGACTGTCCAACTCCAATTCCAACCCAATCCACCTCATCACAGACCCACCAAGCCCCTTTCTCCATCCCCACCCTCAGCCTGCCTCCTGACTGATCCTCCAGAGACCATCTTCCCCATCACAAAGTCAACAGCACCAACAGCTCTTTCCTTTGGTATCCGGCTTCTTGACCTCTGCATCTCATCTCTGAGCCCATGAGGACTTGCATCTCGTCCTTTGTAATACTGACTGAGTAGTACTATGTGATCCAATCTCCTTTTCTGTGGGCATGGGGCCACTTAAAAGTATAACACAGTGTAATGCCAACACCAGAGAGGCACAGAGAAATGGACCCCTGCAGCTTCCTAGCCAGCTGGCCTAGCCTACCTGGTAAAACTCCAGGCCATGGGAGACACACCGGGGAGCTAGAGAGGTAGCTCAGAGATGAACAGCACAAACTGCTCTTGCCGAGGACCCAAGTTCAGTTCCCAACACCCACATCAGGTGGCTTACAACCTCCTGTGACTCTAGCTTTCTTTTGAACTCTGTGGAAATCGGCTCTCATGACTGCATATGGCACCATCCCACACATACTTAAAAACAGAATAAATCTGGGGCTGGAGAGATGGCTCAGTGGTGAGAGCACTGACTACTTTTGCAGAGAACCTGGGTTCAATTCCCAGCAACCACAGGGCAGCTCATAACAATCCGTAACACCTATCCTAGGGTATTCATTCCTCCTTCCAGCCTCCATGGATTCTGCATATGTGTGGTATACATATATACATGCAGGTAAAACACACATACAGATAAAAAGAAACAGATCTTAAAAATCTTTTTCTTTTTAAAAAAATGGATGGCAGCTAAGGAAAAATACCCAAACCCAAAGTTTTCCTTGTCTCCACATGCACACACGTGATCACACACAGTAGTGTTGGTTATAGTGAACAAACTGGTATGTAATCATTTCTTGGGGGGTGGGGTGGAGTGAGCGAGCAAGCAAGCAAAAGCGAGAGAGCACTTTCACTTCTTTTGAAAGCCACTTGCTGGAGCTTCTGGGTGTAAGGAAGGGCAGGTTTGTCTTCATACATGTTTGCCCAATGTTCTTCCCTATGGCTGCAGCATCCATATCCCTCCCAGAAGTGTGGACAAGCTCCAGTGCCCACATCTCTAACTGCTGCTGTAGCCGTGCTTTACACTTCAGCTGCTGAATTGGACAAGCATTGAGTTTGCATTTCCCTACTGACTACTGGCTGTGTATTATGGAAGGTACACTCAAAACTTCTGTCCATTTCTAAATCTTGGAAGTTTTTCTTGTTGAATTTTAAGCTCTTTTTATATATTGTAAATAAAAACTTTGGTATATGTTTGGTGACAACCTCTCACCCCATCTCTAGATTGGCTAGCTTTTGTTTTATTTTTTAACATGTCCTGATACATATTGATTTTTTTATTCTTCTCATGTATACAGTTATTTTCCCTGTATGTCTGTGTGCCACATGTGTGTTTGGTGCCTTCGGAGGCCAGAGCAAGGCATCAGATCCTCTAAGAGCTAGAGTCACAGGCGGCTGTGAGCCATTACAGATGAAC